AAAGAAAAAAAGAACAATGCTGTTGTGTGGTGCACATGGTAGTGTGTATTTTTGACCATAGGCCAGGCGGCCAAGATTCATAACTTCTGGGAACTTCATACCCTTCACAAAGAGTTCCACATTTCACACTTGAGTGATTATACTTGTAGGATAAATACCCAGGAGGAACACATATGTAGTGTTTTTCACTGAAATTAGAGAATTTAATACCTGATCCCCTAGTCTTCATCCTCTGACTGCACCCAGATGCTCAGAAATATCACATATTCTAGATTTATTCTGATCTCATTCTAATCAGGGAAGAATACAATTTTATTTCACTTGTTCTGGGCCCTACACTTTCATTTATGAAACTTATGATTGGATTAACTTTTTGGCAGCTCCATCCCCAGTTGGCTCATTTTGAGATTACTGTTAACTCAAATCCACAGGCCTTCTCTCAAATAAATTACTATTAAATCATATTCTGCTTACCTAGTATGTGTATAGTGGAATTTTTATAACCTGAAAGCAAACTTTTGATTTATCCATGTTTAACTGTATTTTGAGCCATGGCTGGGTAGCTTAGTAGGTTAGAGCATCATCCCAATAAGCAGGTTCAATTTCTGGTCTGGGAACACACAAGAATCAACCAATATATGCATAAATAAATGGAACAAATTGATGTTCTTCTCTCCCGATTTGCCTTTCTCTTCTCTCTCTCTTTCTCTCCCTCTCTCTCATCAACAAAAGAATTTCAAAAATGCATTTTGTTGCTTCAGCCCTAGACTCTCTTCTATGCTATTGAACTATCTCTGCATCTTCATCCTGCCATCTACATTTCATCTTTCTGTACCTATTTTCTTTTTTAAATCTATTTTTAATTGATTTTTTACAGAGAGGAAGGGAGAGGATAGAGAGCTAGAAACATCGATCAGTTGTCTCCTGCACGCCCCCTACTGGGGATGTGCCCGCAACCAAGGTACATGCCCTTGACCGGGATCGAACCCAGGACCCTTCGGTCTGCAGGCCGATGCTCTATCCACTGAGCCAAACAGGTCAGGGCTTTTTGTACCTATTTTCATTCCCCACTCATAGTGAGCTTAATGCCATGGCTCTAGGTATTAACACTGAAAGAAGATTCATAAAGTTATTTTTGTTATAGCTTGTCAAATATGGCAATTGTTGGAGCCTTGGATAAAAAGAACTAGCCCAGTGTTCAGAAGTCAGAGGTTAGAGAAGGGAAAGGAGAGAGAAAAAACATTTCCAACTAATGAGAAAAATTTACCTAAGATCTCACTTCTAGGAATAACTATGCTTCTCCTGACCAATTACTATATATATAGTTTGTGGGCATAGTTAATTGCATAGCATAGGTTTTCCTGTTTATTTCCTGCCAGGAAGTTCAAAGGCAAACTGATAGTGCAGTTCTAGTGTGTAGATATGGTGTGAATTTTGTGTACCTATCTTACCCTTGACCTCTTTTTATTTCCTACCTTATTTTTTTGCACTTATTTTCTAGGTTATTAAAAAATTTAGTGTAAAATTTGTGAGTTTCCTTAAATTCTTCTTTGGAAAAAGGTATTGTATAAACTGACAAACAGGCAAATAAAATCTTGGTATGACAAATTTTGTAAAGACATCAAATATATTCACATCTTAGATTGACAACAACAGTAACAACTATTTGAAAAAGAGCTGTGATGGAATAAAAATTTTAAGCTTGTAATTAAATCTTTGACATCATTCAAGACAATAATGGGGATCTTAACAATTCTTAAATACTAGGGGCCCAGTGCATGAATTCATGCACCCTGAAAGGAACTGTGGGCTGAGAGGCAGCAGTGGGCACAGAGGTGGGTCTTGACCCATCTGCCTCACCCTTGCCTGGTTCCTCCCTCCATGGCCCTGGTCTCCTGTCTGCTGGCAAACCTGCTCCTGCTGCTTCCACTCCCATGCACTGACAGTGCTGGCCCCACTTGCACCTGCTGATGGTGTGGAGTGATTGGGGCCGAAACCAGCAGCAGGTACAAGCGGGGCCAGTGCCGTCAATGGGTGTGAGCAATATCTGCTGCCCCGATTGCCCCTCAGGAGCAGGGGAAGGTGAAGAAGCCCTCAGGGGTGATTGGGGCCAGCAGCTGCCATTCATACCCACTGATGGTGCTGAGTGAGCATGGCTGGTGCTGGGCACCAGCAGCGTGTGTGAGTGGTGTCTCCAGTGCCAGCAGAAGGTGCCAACACTGGCATTGGCAGCAAGTGTGAATGCCCAGCAGCACCATAGCATGCATGAGCAAATAATTTTTAGTAACTATCCTGCCTTGGTCTGGCCCCCCTGGTCACCTGCTACACCATCTCATCAGAGCTGATCCCGCCATGTTCCATGCTCTGCCACCTGCTGCCAAAGCCCACCATGTTCCCATGTGCCCCCTGATGGTCAGCGCATGTTATAACCACTAGTTGTTTGGTTGTTCAATTGTTCTACTGTTTGGTCTATTTGCATATTAAGGTGATACACACACACACACACACACACACACACACACACACACACACATAGATGAGTCTTGTGTAACTTACCATATAAAATAAAATGCAATTACAAAAATGAAAGTCTCAAACTCAAGTGCCTGGGAGAGCCAAGAAAGTAAAGTAAGTATTGATAAAAGAACAAACTAATAGAGGCTGGTAGAAATAGTAAGTACTCAAGAGCACCTGTCCCCCTTTGTACATCCAAATATGACACTTAACTAAACATTTGTAAACCCATTAGTTACTAGTTTACAACTTCTGAATTATCTTCCTGCCCCAGTTTTATAAATGTGACCAAAGTAAAATACTCTAAAAGTCCTCATAAAACATGGGGAAGTCCTAGGCCAAGAAGCTAAATTTTCTTTCTCTTTCTTTTTCAGGTTATTGGTTGCCTAGTTATAAGTTAAAGTCCTCTTGGGCAACAGGCCTGCATCTCTCTGTCTTGTTTGGTCACGTGGAATGTCTTTTGGTGCTACTGGACCACAATGCTACAATCAACTGTAGACCTAATGGGAAAACCCCTCTTCATGTGGCTTGTGAAATGGCCAACTTGGATTGTGTTAAGATCCTTTGTGACCATGGAGCAAAGCTCAATAGCTACTCCTTAAGTGGACACACAGCTTTGCACTTTTGTACAACTCCAAGCTCCATTCTGTGTGCCAAGCAATTGGTTTGGAGAGGTAAGCCTTTCTGGGTGGCTGACATTGTCATCTATTTTCACATTCATGGGCTTGAAACTTGGTGATCCTGTCTTATCTCAGACAATGTAGTAGGTATATTCATACATTAAGCATTAGTCAGGGGCCCCTAAAAATAGATAGATAGATAGATAGATAGATAGATAGATAGATAGATAGATAGACAGACAGATAATGTTATGTTGGTGCAGGCCATTCAGTGATGATCTCATTGGAATCATGTTTTTTGTTTGTTTTTTTAATTGTTGGAGGCTTATTAACTTACACAAGTATTTATTTAGCTCCTATGATGTATCAGGTAATGTGCTAAGTAAGTGAAAAAGAAAAAAAATAGTTTCTGCCTTTAAGGAGCTTATATTCTAGTAGGTGAGATAAATGTTATAAAAATAAATTCATAAATATTAAATTATCAATTGGGAAAAGAGCAACATAGGCACTATGAAAGAAAATGTCATGCAGGAACTATTACAAAATGTTTAAGACTTTTCTAAAGATATGATATGTAAACTGAACCTTTTATAATGGGAAATAGCTAGCCATTAAAAGGTTAGAGCATCCTTCCAATACCCCACTGTTGCAGGTTTGATCCTTGATCAGGAAAACATATGAGAATCAACCAATGAATGCATGGATAGGTGGAACAACAAATTGATGTTTGTCTCTTCCCTGCTCCCTCAAGTCAATCAATAAAAATGTTTAAAAAAATTAATTGGTTAAATATGTATGGTTCTATATATGTATGGTTTGGTATACAAAATAGATATACAAACTTTAATGGAGATAGCTCAAGTTTAAAACTGAAATATATTTTAATAAACACTGCATTATTATTTAAACTTTATAGATAGATAGATAGATAGATAGATAGATAATGTTTTCTGGATAATGCTCCACCGACTTGATCGCTGTAGATTTATACTAATTTTCAAAATCATTTCTAATCTAGGAATGACTCCTCCAAAATTAGTTTGGAACATGAGAAGTTTCAGATCTCTTTGACATCAAAGTGACTAAGTAAAAAATGCACTTGACATAAAAATATGGATTTCAGAAAAGAGCTCTGGACTAAAGCTGTCAGTGTAGAAATTATTGGCCTATAGACCATATTTGAAGCTAAAGAAATCAATGAAATCACCTAGATCAAGTAGGGGTGTCGAACTCAATCAGAGAAGGGGCCAAAATCTAAAATCCAGCCTAAATCGCGAGCCGAATGGTTTACTGAACAGTCATAAACTGTCATTGTGATGGAAACGCAGCGGAGTGCAGTGATGACAGTGCGGTGCGGGCCACATTGCAAGGCCTGGCGGGACGGATTTGGCCCGCGGGCCTTGTGTTTGACACATGTGCTGTAGAGAGTGAAAAGAGAACCTAGGGTCAAACTCTGATAAATTCTTATATTTAAATGTTATGGAATGGAGAGAAGCCAAGAAATGAGTGTAAAGGGGATTGGTAAATAAACTTGAGAAAGCACAAGAATATTTTGGCATCACAGAGACTAATAAAGAGGCAAGTCAAGAAGGAGAGAGTGGTCAGCTGTACTGATAACTATTTAGAGGTTTAATTAGATGTTCATTAAATTAAGTGACAGAGTTATCACTGACAAAAATAGTTTTAATGAAATGGTGGGTATTAAAGCCAGATTAGAATGATATAAGGTGTAAATGGGAGGTTAGAAACTAGAGATGGCATATGTTAATAATTGTTACAAGAAGCTTGGCTGCAAAAGTGAGCATAAGAATAGAATGATTGCCCTAGCCAGTGTGTGGCTTAGTTGGTGGGAGTGTTGTCCAATACACCAAAAAGTGGCAGATTCAGTTCCTGGTTAGGGCACATACCCAGGCTGTGGGTTTGATTCCCAGTCAGGGTGCATGTGGGAAGCAACCAATCAAAGTTACTCTCTCACATTCATATTTCTCCCCCTCTCTCTCCCCTTCCCCTCTTTCTCATTTTTAAAAAAAATCTTTATTGTTGAGATTATTATAGATGTCCCTCTTTCTCCCCCCATTGTCCCACCCCAGGCTTTCGCCACCTGATTGTGTCCATGGGTAATGCATATGTGCATATAAGATCTTTGTTTAATCTCTTCCAACCCCACCTCCCATACCCTTCCCTCTGAGAATCATCAGTCGTTCCATTTTCATGCCTCTGATACTATTTTATTCATCAGTTTATTCTGTTCATTAGATTTTTTATTCATTTATTTTTAGATTAAATTGTTGATAGATATCTATTTGTTGCCATTTTGTTGTTCATATTTTTTTATCTTTTTCTTTTTCTTCTTCTTCCTCTTCTTAAAGAACACCCTTCAACATTTTATGTAACACTGGTTTGGCAGTAATGAACTCCTTTAGCTTTTCTTCTCTGTGAAGCTCTTTATCTGACCTTCAATTCTAAATGATAGCTTTGCAGGGCAGAGTAATCTTGGTTGTAGGTCCTTGCTATTGAATATTTCTTGCCACTCCCTTCTGCCCTGGATAGTTTCTGTTGAGGAATCAGCTGACAATCATGTAGGCATTCCTTAATAGGTAACTCACTGCTTTTCTCTTGCTGCTTTTAAGATTCTCTCTTTGTCTTTAGCCCTTGTCATTTTAATTATGATGTGTTTTGGTATGGTTCTCTTTGGGTTCCTCTTATTTGGGACTCTCTGTGCTTCCTGGACTTGTAAGTCTATTTCTTTCACTAGGTAGGGAAGTTTTCTGTAATTATTTCTTCAAATATGTTTTCAATATCTTGCTCTCTTTTTCTAGCACCCCCATAATGCAAATGTTGGTACCCTTGAAGTTGTCCCAGAAGCTCCTTACACTATCTTCATATTTTTGGATTCTTTTTTCTCTTTGCTCTTCTGGTTGGGTGTTTTTTGCTTCCTCATATTTCAAATCATTGATTTGATTCTCAGATCCTTTACTGTACTGTTGAATCCCTGTGTATTATTGTATTTTTTATTTCAGTCAGTGTATGTTTAATTTCCTACTGATCCTTTTCCATTTTTTTTTTTTTGAGGTTTCTAGAAGATTATTGAGTAACCTTATAACCCTGGTTCTGAACTCTATAACCAGTAGTTTGCTTTCTCCCATTTCTTTCATTTGTGACATGTTTCTTTGTCTCAACATTTTGTCTGCTTCCCTATGTTTGTTTCCATGTATTGGGTAGACCTTTGATTTTCTTTTAAAAATCCGCAATTACTTAGTTGCCGACCCAATATATCCCTTTGAGTTGGTAGAGTGGCCTTGTGTAGTAGGTGTTCTATAGGTCCCAATGGCTCAGTTTCCCCAGTCACCTGAGCTGAGAGCTCTAGGTGTACCCCTTTGTGGGCTATGAACACAGTCTTGTTGTAGTTGAGACTTGATTGTTATTGGTGTCACTAGGAGGAATTGATGTCCAGACCAGCTACAACTACAGTGGAAGAGCTACTGTGCAGGAGATACCCCTATGGAGCAGGACTTGCTTCAGTGGGGCTTTATTGCTCACTGATTCTGCCCCTTGTGTATGTCACTTATGGATGTGAAGAGTTGTAATCTGATATGGTCTGACACTGACCACTGGGTCCACTGGCTCTTGTATCTCCAGGGAGGTGCAAAGTCAACCACTGCCTGAGGCCACTCAGCAGGAGCTACAGAGAGATCTGCAGATTCCTCCTCTTTGTATCAGGATTGAAAGTGCCTAGATGAGGCCCAGCTGTCAAGCAAGACAGGCTGGTGCTGGTGCCTGGTCTTGGGTCTTTTATTGATAGGTTGGGGCTCCCTGATCAAGCTGAAGCTTGTTTGAGATTTTAGCCTGAACAAGAACAGGGCATTCATTTGCAAAAGCTGCTGCACACAGCTTGAGTGAGGTTGTAAATTGGATGAGGTTGAGTCTTAGAGAGTCACAAGGGCAGAGCAAGCAGAAATGGCTGCCAGTCAGCCCTATGACCAGGGAGGTCCCAGCATAGGAACAATGATTCCTACAAGCACCCCCATATGGGAGAAATCCACCCCTGGGTTTCCAGCCCTGATGCCAAACATTCCAGTTCCTCCTTGTATGTGTCTATGTTCCCCAAAGCCTCGCCCTGGTGCTGGAGCTCAGAGGAAGCGGGACCTTGTAAGTTCATTTCATGGTTCCTGCCTTTTAAGAGGAATAGCTGGGTCTCCAGCAGCCTCTGTGTCACTGAGCCACAATCTGCACTGTGTTTTTTTTTTTTTTTTTTTTTTTAAATATATATATTTTATTTATTTTTCACAGAGAGGAAGCGAGAGGGATAGAGAGTTAGAAACATCAATGAGAGAGATGTGCCCGCAACCAAGGTACATGCCCTTGACCGGAATTGAACCTGGGACTTTTCAGTCCACAAGCTGACGCTCTATCCACTGAGCCAAATCAGGTTTGGCATGCACTGGTTTTTATAGTCCATAATTCTTACTGTCCATAGGGACTTCTTTTCCTAACTCTGGGACCCTTGGCTGGTGTGGGGCTGGGACCCCTGTTCCTCTGGGCAGCCTATGCGGAGACAATCTCCCCCCCAATTAAGAAGGAAGAACATGTGAGTGCCAGCCTAGCCTGGTTCGCACCTCTGCACATCCTACCAGTCTCAGTGTGCTTTCTTCTTTACTTCTCTAGTTGGAGGACTTCCATTCAGCCAGCTTTCCAATGGTTCTGGACGATGCTTGTTCTGTATTTTAGTTGTAATTTTGATTTGGTTATGGGAGGCGGTGAGTACAGGAGTTTACCTAGGCAAACATCACCAAATCTCCTCCTTCCTCTCTCTCTCAAAAAAAAAGAATATCATGATTGCTGAAGGGGAATAGGGGGTCACAAGAGAGTATTGGACCCAAGACCAGGCACCAGTTGGAGAGAAAAGAAAATGTTTGTATACTGAATGGAATGATTTGTGGAAAGAAAACAGTTGAAGATGCATTGGACAGGATAAGTGAAAGGTCCAAATTTTAGAGAAATTGAGACAAGATAAAATCCAGAGACCATAAGACATATTCTCAATTTTAACAGATGTGCTGAAGTACAAGATTGCTTTAAATGCCAGAGGCATTCATAGATTTGGTTGTGGTTTGATGACAGTTAATATTTGATGGTTTTTCCCTCTGAATAATGTATAAAGCTAAGTCATCAGCCAAAAAATGAGAGCATAAAGGGTGAACATTTTGATGAGAGAGGGGAAAGGATGGAAAAGTCATGGGGAAATTATGGGAGAACGATTAAAGAGTTCCATGGCCTTCTCAACCTGTGAGAATTAAGGAGAAAGCAATTAGCCCAGCTTATGCTCCTTCTTGCCTGCCCTTGGAGGAAGGGCCTAGTACAGAGACACCTGGGGAGTGGTAGGTGTCATCAGTGGGAGCTTATCCACCTAACTGCATGTGGCCATCACCTCCTTTCACAGTTAGTTATGGATTTAGTTTCAATTTAGATTTTAATTAATGAACTTAAATATTTAAGCTTTTTTATTTTTAGATTGTTAATAAATTATATATTTGTTTAATTCTTGACTTTTATATCAATGCCTTCATCAACCATTGGCTGACAGAAAGCTGCCATCCCTGTCACTCCTCAGAGGTGTTATCACACACCTTTCCAGGAGGACACAGTCATTTCCCACCTCCTTTATCCCTGTTCACAGAGACACACTACCCAGAGATTGGAAGGATTGGGCTGATAACAAAGAGAAAAAGTGGAAGTCCACTTACTCTTTAGAAGAGCCTTGGCACCAAAGGCCAAAGCCATAATGAAAAGAAAGACAAATTAGATGAAGCAAAAATATTCAATGTCTGTGTAGCAAACAGATCTTAAAGTTAAAAGGCCATTATAAAATGGGAAAAATATTTGAGACTACATGCAGGGGGAGGGAGAGAGGGAGAGGGGGAGGGAGAGGGGAGAGAGAGAGAGAGAGAGAGAGAGAGAGAGAGAGAGAGAGAGAGAGAGAGAGAGAGAGAGAGAGAGAGAGAGAGAGAGAGAGAGAGAGAGAGAGAGAGAGAGAGAGAGAGATGTAAGAGAGACACATGGATTGGTTGCCTCCTTCTCCACCTTCTCCCCCCCAACTGGGGCTGGGGATTGAACCTGCAACCCAGTTACCTGCCCTAAACTGGGAATTAAACATGAGACCTTTCAGTGTGTGGGCTGGTGCTCTAATCACTAAGCAATACCAGCCAGGGCAACATATAAAGAAAAGTATTAAAACTTGAAGGAGGTTAACAACTAAGAGAAATTTTTAAAGAAAGAAAGAGCAAAAGGACCAAGAACAGGAAAACATATTTCAGGGGGAAAAAAATGTCAAATAAAGATAACAATGAACCGAAACCTGTTTGGCTCAGTGGATAGAACGTCGGCCTGCAGACTGAAAGGTCCAGGATTCGATTCCGGTCAAGGGCATGTACCTTAGTTGCGGGCACATTCCCAGTAGGGGGTGTGCAAGAGGCAGCTGATCGGTGATTCTCTCTCATGGATGTTTCTAACTCTATTCCTCTCTCTTTCTCTCTGTAAAAAAAAAAATCAATAAAATATATATATTTTTAAAAAGATAACAATGATCACCTACATTGGTAATCAGTAAAATGTTAATTAAAATAACAATTTATATCACTTCTCAGCCTTTTGGCTAAGATAAAGTGTAAAATAACAATTTATTGTTGTTTATTACGTTAATAAAGATACAAAAGATTATAACTCGTATGATGACTAACTTATTAGGAAGTGCTTTCATATACTCTTAATGAAGTGTAAATGCACAGCTGGGTGGAAGGGGAGGCAATATCTAAAGCTTAAAACCTTCTTTCACCCAAAGTTCACTTCAGGGATGAGACACTAATTTGAGACCCTTTGGTTCAGGGCTTTCAATTGTGTAGAGCCTCAAAATCAGGCTGTGGATTATTATCAAACAAGCTTATACACTGAG